GTGTGTGTGTGTGTGTGTGTGTGTGTGTGTGTGTGTGTGTGTGTGTGTGTGACGAAAGAGACAGACAGTCATGTGTTGTCTCATTTGTCCTGGCCCTCTGTCTACACTTGTTTTTAAATACATTTCCAGTTTCTGTCCGTCACGTGTTTGTTTATCCGTCCACCTGTCAGACCTGTCCTCATCTGGAGACTTTGTTTTTTTTCTCTCTCTTATCTTTTTGTACAAAAGCTAAACTGAAAGGAAGTCATCTTGTTCTCAGCCTGTAAAATTAAGCAAGACCATTTAAAAAAAAGCAAGAACTGAACACCATGATCTAAAACAAAGTCCGTTTTTGTTGTTACGCAGTGTTAGTCAGTTTGTAAAGAAAAAAAAAGAAAAGTATATTCCTTTAATTGCCCCACTTTGCTACCTTCTTCCCTTGTGGGTTTTTATTGATTTGGCTGTTGAAACAAAGTGTGGCTCCCAGTTCATGGATAAATGGCTTATTGGATTAAGACCTTCATATAAAGACCTCTAGTGTTTCTGTAGTGGTGTGCCAGGTGGCCCAGACCACCGAGTCACAGTAAAAATACCCCAAAAGGATCAATTAGATTTTTATGAATGTTTTAAGGATAAAAACTAAACGGTGCCTTTTAATAAAAGAACTTTTGGCATCTCCAGTATTTTTATTGATGCCTGAATCAGACAGAAAGTATGCTCGTATCTCCAGTTTGATCTTTGACACAGTCGATGACTGCAGCTGAGCAGGATGTGGTCTGGAAGCAGACAGACTGGGTGGGACCGGCTGTCTCGGTGAACGTCTCGGTACGTGTCTTTCCTCCATTTCCCTCTAACTGTCTGAGGCAGATTGCACCCAAATAAAGGCTGTATACTTCCTCTTGAAAGAGAAAAGAAAAGCTGCGTCGCTCTGACCCCCCCACCCCCACCCCCCACCCCTTGACGGTGCTGAACGCCAGGTGCTTAAATGGTTCAGACGGTGGGGAACAGAGGAGGGTCAGAAAGGGCAGAGTTACAGTTTGTGGTTGCAGTGCCTTCCAGGAGTTTGTTTCAGTTTTCATACTCAGCCGCTGATGTCAGGGCTTGAACAGATGTGGAGATAATTGTTTGTGTTTTAGGGTCCAGAAGGGATTTTTAACATCGCGCACAAACAAACAGGCTCGCTAGTTTGGGATAAAAGGTCATCAAAAGCTTGTGCGCAGAGACTTGCTTTGTGTGTGTGTGTATACAAATGTGTGTGTGTTCATATCCTGGGCAGGGTTTTATAGTTTCACTCTGATGTCTGCAGTAATGATGTTAAACAGTAATAATGTGAGCACAACATAACAGTTAAATGAAAATCTTTGCTAAAGAGTAATTTTAACCATCTAATTAAATAGTAAATAACTCCAAATATTTGTTTTCATAATTGATTTTAAATGATTTAATGCTACATAGGAAGTGTGGCACTTCAGTCGTATGTGTTCACAGCAAGCTTTCTGTGTTTTATTATGTATCTAAGGAGACAGTGTGTGTATTTATAGCTAACATTGTGTGTGTTGTTCTACTGAGACAGCAGTTGTCTGGAGGCTCCACGTGACCCAGAGAAGAAGAGCTTGACCTGTGTGTGCTCGCTCTCTGTGCGTCGGTCTGTCTCGATGCCCTGAGAATAAACCTAACGACAGAGCAGAAGCTGTCCTCGTCTCGTTATCTGTGGCCAACACAAAAATCCCCCTCAGCTTTTCGCAACAAATACGTTGAGTGGCAACTTTTTGCGAAGCCTAAAGCTCCCACCTTGAGTACAAAAATCAGCTGAATATGTTTGATAAGCCGGTACACAGGCAGAAAAACTAATTATTGAATCCAGTGCTCTCAGCAGAATTAAATTTCTACTCTTAAATTGACTAACACGTAAAAATCTGCTATGTGTAAAGCTTAAAGGCTTTCTTTTTTAAAGAATTTGGCATACACATCAATGTAAGCCTCTGTTTAAAATGCCCAAAATGTCTGTCTAAAATGAAAGACAGCTGCAGGTGCTGTGGTGTTTCTGGTGCAGGTTAAATGTTGGTGCCTTGCTGTGGGAAGCACAGATGTCACCCACAGCAGACATTCAAAGCTGAAAATGCTTTTACTCTGTCTGCTTTTTGTCAGGGTGTTTATGGTAATGTGGAGTTATGGATGCATGCGGTACACCAGCACTTGTTATGGTTGGTTTTTAACGGCACTCAAAAAGCACTTTTTGCTACATTAGAGCATCTGCCGCAGAAATGTCACGCGCTCCAACGGTCGGGGAGGGGGGGGGGGGACGAAACGGAGGAGGCTCTGGAAGTGGGTCATTGTGGGAGTTCACATGGCTGCGTGTGTCTGGAGCACAGCGTTTTCGTGGCGCTGGGTGAGTGTAGCTGCAGCAGCAGGCAGGCAGGCAGGCTGCTGGTGATTAGGAACAACGGGGCAGAGTTCAGCAGAGCGAGTGCGTGGAATGCTAATCCACATCGTCATAAGGCGAGCCTCGGCCCGACAAAGGGCCAGAGACATGCTGGGGTTAAGGGCTGTTTGTGTGCACTACACGTGTACATGTGTGTCACAGACGCAACCCAGATAAGAGAGGTGCTTCATTAGTGCAGATTAAGGCTGAGTAGCGGCCTGGTGTGTGTGTGTGTGTGTCTGTGTCTGTGGTTTGGGGGGGAGCTGTTAATAAAGCAAAGTGGGGGTGGAAGAAGAGAGATAGCAGAAGAAAACAGTGTTGAAATGTGCAAACGTTTGCACACATTCATTAAGGAACAGAGAGCAGTAGTGATAATGTGTGTGTGTGTGGGCGTACAGCTGTCAGGTGAGCAGGAGACAAGTTCCTACATGGACAAACAGGGACAGAAAACTAAAGCTCAAACTGAGAATGAGACTAAACGATAGCTACACACTCATCACACACACATCTGAACACCTTTTAATGAGCGGTTGTTGTCTCAGAAACAGCATCTGCTGCCATGGGGGGGTCAAACAGACGAAAGACCTTTGGATGACCCGTTCATCTCTACATGTGTATTTAAAGAGACAAACCCCCCACTTATAGACGAGGGGGATCTAGCTCACAGTTTTCCTACTAGAGGAATATCTTCTGTTTTTGTTTCTGTAAACTCTCCCTCCCTCCTTCCCATCATCTCACCCTCCCTCCTCTCAGTGCTGCAGTGCTGCCTTCTGACGAAGAGGGAAAATAAAAACACCAACCAGAGGCAGTTTAAATGGACGAGCCCCCCCCCCCCTTCTTTTTACGCACACACCAACAGACACGCCTGGCTACACATCCAGCCTTCTACATTTGCATCTTCGTTCACCCGTGCCTTTTGTAAATCAGGGACAATCCCCCACACGCTTCGTATGAGAGATCACACACAAATGAGCTGTACGCTGAATTTTTGTTTTGTTGTTTCTTTTTCAAAATAATGAGCGTAATCAAAAAGGAAACATGAAGAATACATTTTGAATATAAAACCATAAAAAGCAGCTGCACGTTGGAGAGGTTGGAACAGGAGACTATTTTCTATTTAATGAATGTCTTTGAGGTTTTTTATTGTTGAATAAATATATTTAGGATGATAAAATGGTGAACAATGTCCGTGGTTATGACTCTTATTTGTGTGTATTGCTCTAAGACTTTTTAGCTCCGTTAATCATGACAGCCCATACAGAGCTGCCTGTTCTGTATTTTTGTGGACAGATGTTTATAGATGCCTTTAAAATACTTCTAAGTCAATAATTGATGCCTTCTACCTTTTAGCTTCTCTGACTCTTTGCCTTTTACGCTCAATGCTTTTGCACTTCCATCGGATCTTTTCTCCTCGTTTCCTCCTTCTCCCACCCAAGCTCTGCATCTGTGGCTGAAGGCTAGCCGAGCAGCTCACGTCGCGATGCTGGAAACTCTGGTTCCTCTGGTGTTACCTGTCAGCTCGTTTCAAAGCGCGTGCGTTGAGAGGCTCGTCTGCCGCAGACATGCATCAGGCCTGTCAGCTCCTGGCCTCTCGCCGAGCGTGCCCCGAATTTACTCAAAACGCACAGTCAGAAACGTGCAGACGCAACAACAGACGAGCACCCACAGAGCGTGTGAAGCTGACGTGACTCTCAAAACTTTTAGTTCTTTTCTGTTTTGTCAGAGTTCGAGTCCGACTGAGTTGCATGAATGTCTTCTGTTTTATTCATTAACTGTCTTCTGTCGACTCGTTCTGTTGCTACCCTCAGTTTATCCTTTTCAACACCACCTTTATTTTCTAATGCACCGTTTCTCTCCTTCCTCTCTATTGCTCACTTTTAATGTCATTTGTTCCTTTTTTTCTGTTTGGTTGTCATTTATCTACATCTCTTAAATGCCATTAGTCTTTTTCATTTCCCTCTGAGCCTTGATGCCACTTCTAATCCTTTTCATTTCCTTTCTCTTCCTCTTGCTTCCACTTAGTTCCAAAGCATCATAATGAATCTGTTATTTATCTATAAAGCCGTGTCTGTTGTCAGAGTGTGTTCGAGGGTTAATTCAACCCCTATCTTTGTCTTCATGTGTTTCAGAAGTCAGGGGAGGAGGATGAGGGCCAGCTGAGGAAGTCTTCAGTCGATCTCTGCTCCGCCAGCGACAAGTTAGCTGATGCTGGAGCCGAGAGAAAGGTCAGTTTCTGTTTCCCTTCTCTGTAAGCATTCACGCGCCTCTTCATCAGCCTCCTCTACACACAGGTCAGCTCCCGGGTCACCACCTTCACCCTCGCTCCGACACACACACACACCCTGTTCACCCATTCATAACGGCACACTTCACCCCTCCATCCTGTCAGGGGAGACATTTATGCAGCTGCTCAGCAGCGCCGCTCCCCACCCCCATCCTCCCCCTCGCTGCAGCGCACACACACCACGTTAACATGCAGGGAAGAAGCTCTTTATCACGATTATCCTCTCTTCTGACTCGTGCTCAGAGTCTGCGATGATGCCTGATGGGTAATCCCTCACTCACATCTCTCATCTGTGCATGCATATATTAGCTTTATTAGATTATAGCTCCAAGAGCAACCACACATCTTTCCATCTCTTGTTTCTTTTTATACGTGTGTGTGTGTGTGTGTGTGTGTGTGTGTGTGTGTGTG